TGGCTGAATAAGGTTTTCTATAGGAAATCTTCAATTCAGCCTGGCTGAATAAGGTTTTCTATAGGAAATCTTCAATTCAGCCTTGCTAAATATGGTTTTCTATAGGAAATCTTCAGTTCAGACTGGCTGAATAAGTTTTTCTATAGGAAATCTTCAATTCAGCCTGGCTGAATAAGGTTTTCTATAGGAAATCTTCAATTCAGCATGGCTGAATAAGGTTTTCCATAGGAAATCTTCAATTCAGCCATGCTGAATAAGGCTTTATTTAGGAAATTTTCAATTCAGCCTGGCTGAATAAGGTTTTCTATAATATATATTCAATTCAGCCCAGCTGAAAAAGGATTTCAATAGGAAATCTTCAATTCAACCTGGCTGTATGAAGGGTTTATATAGGAAAATCTTTAATTCAGCATGGCTTAATAAGGTTATCTCTATACAGATTTTATGACAATATGTAAAATGTCTATTGAATTTTTCGCTGAAACCTCAAAGTCACTACTTTTACACACATCAGTTTAAAAAGTACGTAAGATGGGGTCAATTTTTCATAGGGCGTTCATGTGAAAATAATGACCTATATTGTACACGGTTTTTTTAACTCCAAGAAATCGCCTAAACCCTTCAAATTTCCAAAAAAAAATTGTCTTCAATTTAGGTATGTTCTTTTTTAGAATCTTTTTAAATTTTCTTTAAATCAAGCATGACCCAAAATATAAATGGCAAGTAGTACACCCTCCATTGGGAGTGGTACACTTTTAATAATATCCAAAACGAAAAAGAGATCTGCTCAAAATGTCCCTCTATATCCCCAAATATCGTTGACAACCAATAACTTTAAACGCTCTTCATATCGCTGTACATCCACCACACTTTGATCAACCATTCGATACAGATTTCAGGCCAGGCACTTTATCAGGAATGTGGGGATTGGCAAGTAAAACCTCATACAAAACTCTTCCCTATCAAAAACGACAAGACTCTCAAGTGTGTTATGCATGCAAAATGACCCTTGAACAAAAGCAAAAAACAACGAAAACAACAACAACAGCAAAGTTAACAAACTTCACACACAAAGCCCAAAACAAAAGTGGGCTTATTGCCTTTTGCTGACCCTTCATTTTGACATTGCTATGGTCACTCACAATTTGGATTTGTTGTTGTTGCAATGTTGTTGTTGTTTTTTTCCGCCAAGCTATCTACCTACCAACATCTTATTTGAGTACGGCGGTCCGTTTTTGTGTACGGCGCTCCGTTTTTTATTTGCAAAGGGGGGTCATTTGCAACCCCATTGCATACGGAAGTCGAGCTACAGTAGAACCATTAAAATGGCGGAATTTATTACTTGAACATTGATCGAAGGACCAAAGTAGTTTTGCGTATGCCACACTTGCTTCTGTGTTTGTGTTTTTATTGCAATTCCATTTGAATGAATTGCTGTTGTAGTTGTTGTTCCTGTTGTGCAGCATTGAATTTGTAAACTACATTTTGCTGCAGACAATATTCAGGCAGTTGTTGTTGGTTGGGAGTAAGGGGGGATTTTGTGATCATATTGGTTAGTGGGGTAAAAGATATGTTCATTGTTTGGTTGATTTTAATTTTTTTCTGTTTCTGTGTGAGTGTGTCTTTTTCGTTTTCGCGAAATCCACAATATGTGTTTGTGTGAGGCAAATGGTTTATGGGGTGTTGGTGGCTAACATATAAAATTTTGCGACGGCTGTTTTTCCCAGCAATTGGCTTTTCGTACATAAATATATACGTGTGTATGTATGTGTATGTACGTAAGTATGTGAGAATAGAGTGGGCGTATGTTGGGGTAGAAATGGTATTTGTTTTCATTTTTAGCTTACGCCTTTGCACCAACATCAGTTCCAGAGAGAAAATATTCTTCCTGCAATTGCATTGGACGGCGTTGCAATAAAACGCTTCTTCTTTTTTTTGTATTGCCATTGAATTGTACCCTCCTTGCAGATATGGAAGACCAAACAGCCTTTGGGCAATGCATTAAAATTTAACCCCACAAGCAATTAAGAAAAGAAACCTAGACCTTGTTTAATTTAGTATTTTTTGTTTCGTAATTGTTGTGGGGTTATTAGCAAGTTGGTAACAATGCTGCTGCATTCCATGGACCACGTTGACCACTCTTTCTATATCATTCGAATTCTCTATGTGCCTACGAAGATGCATACAAAAGAAGAATTTGGTTTGGTTTCATTTGGCCTGCCTGCATGCATGACAATTATTCGCCCAGGCAACCAACCAGCCAGACAGTGTGGCGCTCTAGCATTGCTTGCTCCAGTATTGTAACTTATTGTTAAATTTTTATTTGGCCTTGTCCATGCTGCCGCCCATGCCACTGTCCCTGCCACTACTACATTGCTGCTGGAGGTGCTGGGGATGCTAGTTGTTGTGTTACCCTAGCTTGTAGTTGCGGGTATTATTACCACTTTTAAGCCATACATGTTGTCATTCGGATGTCAGCTGCATTGGTTTGCGTGCAATAGGTTGACACAATATTTGTTGTGTGGTATAACCAAAACTGAATATGAGAGTGTGTGTGGGTGGGTGTTGCATCTCTCCCATACATTTATTCCAATCCTTTTCATTGCGTATCATTTCTTTGCTGAATGTGGGGGTACAGAAACAAAAACCAAATAAGACCAACACAATTTAATGTTCTCTGTTGTTATTTTTCTTTTCGCGTATCCTTGTTATTTTCTGAGTCTGAGTCGAAGTCGTCGTCTTTTATATTCATTCACTGGTGTTATTCTTATTTGTTCGCCTTAATATCGGCCGTATTTCTCTCTATAGATATGTAATTACGGATATTGCCAATGTTGGTGCAATTGCTGTTGATGCCACGGATGTAGATTGTGAATCAACCAACCAACCAGCCATCCGACCATCCAACTTTATCGTTGGCCACATTGCTTTTGTAGGATCCCGACCACGCAAAACCCACATTATGTTGAATTTTCATTACTTTGCAGCTTCTTCGTTATTGTGAGGTTTCCAATTTCGTCGTTGTTTTTCAGGTTGGTTTTTTTATATATTTTTCCCCACTCGCAGATAAACACATGTTGTCGCACATTGAAATGGGGTTAAAGTTTAAAGGAAATATCAAGAGACTATAAGGCGTTTCAAAGGACAACAGTGAGGAATATTCAACGTGAGAATGGTTTAAAAAATAAAGATCAGCAGAAAGAAAGAAATCTAAATTAAAAACAAATTTTTCAAGGTGCTGGAAGATGTGCTTTAAGAGCCGTGGATTTTTTAAACATTATTTTTCAAGGCACTCTAAGAGGCGTGGATTTTTTAAACATTATTTTTCAAGGCACTCTAAGAGGCGTGGATTTTTTAAACATTATTTTTCAAGGCACTATAAGAGGCGTGGATTTTTTAAACATTATTTTTCAAGGCACTCTAAGAGGCGTGGATTTTTTAAACATTATTTTTCAAGGCACTCTAAGAGGCGTGGATTTTTTAAACATTACACAGTACAGGTCGCATTTTTTAAACATTATTTTTCAAGGCACTATTGAAATTGGGAAAAATCAAGGCACTCAGATTTGGATATAGCTCCCATATATATTTTCGTTCGATTTAATGTAAATGGTGTACCAAAGTCCTTATATATTTTTTTCGATTTGCACGAAATTTGGCACAGCGTAATGAATTAGGTATAGAATGATGTGTGCTAAGTTTGCATATGTTTGTAACAGGAAAAGGAGATTTAGATATAGCTCCCGTATATATTTTTCCGATATGAGGTAAATGGTCCACCAAAGTCCCTATATATCTTTCGATTTGCACGAAATTTGGCACAGCGTAATGAATTAGGTATAGAATGATGTGTGCTAAGTTTCCTGGAAATCGGTTCAGATTTAGATATAGCTCCCGTATATATTTTCGTCCGATATAAGGTAAATGGTCCACCAAAGTCCCTATATATCTTTCGATTTGCACGAAATTTGGCACAGCGTAATGAATTAGGTCTTGAATGATGTGTGTTAAGTTTGAAAATCGGTTTAGATTTAGATATAGCTCCCATATATATTTTCGTCCGATTTAAAGTAAATGGTGCACCAAAGTCCCTTAAAATCTTTCGGTTAACACGAAATTTGGTACAGCGTAATGAATTGCAAAATGACATGTTTAAGGATCCAATTTCATTTCAATGGTCCTTTAAAAATGCGACGTCGGTTAGGATTCGTCCAAAGTGGTGAAGGGTTTCATATAGTCGGCTCCGTCCGTTTTTACTACTTTCCTTACCGGTTTAAACATTATTTTTTCAAGGCGCTCGAGAGGGTGTAGATTGCTTAAAAATTATTTTTCATGGTACTCGAGACGGTGCAGATTCTTTAAAAATGATTTTTCAAGGGGCTCAAGAAAAGATTTTATTTTTTTGAGTCGCTCCAAGATCTCAAGGTCTAGATTTTATAGGAAGGATTGGATGAAAAAAAATTTAGAACTCAGAAAGTTAAGGGCCTGAATTTATTAGAATAACATTTTACAGAACTACACAGATCCAAAGAACACCGAATCTAAATGGCTGAATGGAATTGAGGCGCTCCAATAACTAAACCCGGATTTTTTTTTACATTTTTAATTTCCTCTAAAAAATCCTAAACCAAAGTCCTACCCCATCTCATATACATGACACCCGCCAACCATCCACTGGCTCTAGCAGCAGCATCATCATCTTTTGCTATCTATATTTAAATATGCAATTTCATTTTATTATTTACCATCTGCGTATTTCTTTGTGAATTTTTACAAGTATATTCTGTTTATCCTTTCTTCATTTCCCGGTACACCATTTCAGTGCCTTCCCTACCTACGCTACTACCACCCACTTCACTCCCTGTGTTGTTTCCTCATCAACTTTTTAATTAGCCAAATATTCATTGTGTAATATTCATATGATAATTGAGAATATTAAGGTTATACGCTGGGATGCATTTTTACGGCCAGATAGACAAGCAGACAGATAGACTACTTACCAATTACAGTGAGATTAATTTTCAGGTTACGTGTTGGTGAATTACGAAAATCAACACGACACCGATATACACCTTCATCCTCCAGACGAACGCTGTCAATTTTCAATTGGGCCGGGTGTGAGGTACTGCTGAAATAGGCACGTGTACCAAACGCCGATGGTGATGACCATAAACGGGCTTGGCCAAATTGTCTCCCTCGGACATCGAAACTGTAGGATAGAGAATGAAAAGAAATAATTGAGTTGTTATTTGTCAATATATTTATTGTGATTAAAGAGTTAAAAATGAGGGTAGGATTCCTCATCATTATTTGTTAAAGAAAATTGTTTCCCTATTTAAATGGAAATTAATAAAAGATTTTCTTTCAAGAGCCCTCAAAATTTTCCACATGAGTGATTTTAATATCCTAATGATTTTCCACATATCTAATATCCTCATGAGTTTCAAGATTTATTACAAATACATTTAAGTATGTCATATTAACTTGTTTAAATTTACTTAATGGAAATATGGTCTCCATATACTCCTCTTTATCTTCACATTTCATTTCATTCCTGATTTAATTCATAAGTAGCAAAACTACTTATATTTAATTAAATGAATTGTATTAAGAGCATACAGAATCCCTTTTTAAACTATATTCCAACTCTCGAATATAAAAGAATAATAGGAATTAGTAACACTTTGGCCCAAAGCCATTACACCCGCCGACCGACCGCCGACACACAAAAATGATTTTTCAAGATAAATTAACCCACTTAAGAGGAAATAAGGAAATACTCAGCATTATGTTGAGGAAGCAGACAAAGATTGGCTCTTCAACTAGCACTATGTATGTGTGTGTGGGTGAATGGATGAATTTCAGACACACACACCCACAGCTATTATTCAAACATTAAAAAAGTATATGTCAGTATGTGTGTACAGAAAAGGGGGATGTGTTGCTAGGATATTTTTTCCATCCACAGCAAAAAAAGATATATTATAAGTATAGATGGCTATTATTAACAACTAGATAGGTAGTATGGTTACACGTACACACTCACACGCACACACAAATGTGTCTAAAGTCCTTCTTAAATAAACTTCACAAGGAATTTCAGGAACCTGTTTTTTTTTTGTATTGTAACCTAACAATATAACAACCACCCATCATTGTTGAATGATAATAAAAATATTTCCTACTTTTTGTTATTGTTGCTGTTGCTACTTACTTGTAAATAGGTTCACCATCACCCTCACGAAACCACAGTACCATATAAACAGCATCGTCACGTTCCATTGGCGTTATATCACACGGTAGCATTGCCTGTCGCCCCAGTACACCCTGAACGGATGTAAGTGGTACTGCAAGGAAAGAAAAGAAGAAAAAATATAAAACATCAGAATAATAGAAGATGCTGCTGTGAGTCTTATAAGAGAATACAATTCACAAGGAATATTCACAGGAAATCTATAAGAAAATGAACTGCCAATTTGAGCTATGCTACGTACAGTTAAATAAATGCAAATTGGCAGTTGTTTGTACTATGTGAAATGAGAAAAAAAAATAATGATTTTTTCAATTTTATTTTCTTGGTTTTGTTGTTGTTATTAAATACACTTCGAGGAAAAATTAAAATTTATTATAAAAAATAATAATATTAAATTAAAACCAGTGAGCGGAGCAGTATAGTCGGACGGGGCCGACCATGCGATACCCTACACAACTACCACGAACTCTAACTTTCTGAGGATGTTTATTCCGAGTCTGAGTAATATTTCGTGATATTTGCCCCCTCTTGTCCGATTAGAGGTTAACAACACCTCTTCCTTACTTTTTTCGAATATTCAGTACAGTCCTTCTAATTACTTGTCCAGATTACCTTCACGGTGGTTTGTGTTGTGATTTTCGGATTATACTCTACTCGAAAACACACAAAAAATTATGTTTTCGGTCCATTTCATCCCAAAATTTTAATCTGATCATCACCGAAAATTATAGGCGTTGTTCTTGACCATAACTGGAACTTCATGAAAAATTTTAAAGCCATCAGCGCGATATTTCTCCCTCTAATGTGGTAATGGGTTACTGTATAATATCTGAATACGTAAGCACCTGTAAATATTTGACTGAGTAGATACATCACTATATTTGGTATCAATTTAAAGGCCAACCACTCCTCTTGGATGTGCTATCAACTCCTGGGGTCTACATCCTCCAGGAGTAAATATATATGCCATAGAATACAAATTTTGTCATTTTTCACACAAAAGTCAGGGTCCATTTGACCCGCTAAATATTGACCGATCTTTATCAAAACATGCATGCTTATTCTCTGGCCCGATCCCCTTCTCCATGCAAAAATTCGCGGTGTTTGGGCCATAATTGCGGCCTCTGGAGCGACCAGAAAAACCGACAAAAATTTAGTATTTGGTCCATTTCATCCCCTAAATATTAACCGATCTTTTCCAAAAACAATAGGGGTCTTCATTGGCCAGAACCCATCCTACATGCAAAATTTCGTGAAGATTGGTCCATAACTGTGGCCTGTATCGTGTTTACAAATTATAATGGACAGACGGACGGACGGACACACATGTCTAGATCGACTCAGCTAGTCGAGATATGACGATCGGTATACTTAAAGGTGGGTCTAGGACCAATATTTCGCGGCGTTACAAACATTTGGGGCTGCACAAAGCTATAATACCCTGACAACATAGTTGTGTAGGGTATAAATATTATTTAAAAAAAAAAAAAATATAAAAGAATTGGATTTTTTAATATTTTAGACTGAGTTTAAAAAAAAAATTATTTTGATCAAAATACATTTATGAGAATATATACAGCTAAATTTTGATTTTATTGCGTCTTTGTGCATATGTTGTAACAGGCAAAAGGAAACGAGACACATGGTTCATTTTAAGAATATGGATATAATCAATTTCTGAGTCGATTTATGCATGTCCGTCCGTCTGTAGATGTCAAATTGTAAACAAAGTACAGGTCGCATTTATGATCTGATTTGAATGAAATTTGGCACAAGCCACTTATTTAGCCCAAGGACGAACCCTATTGAAATTAAAAAAATCGGATCAGATTTAGATATGGCTCCCATATATATTTTCATCCGATGTTATGTAAATGGTGCACCAAAGTCCCTATATATCTATCGATTTGCACGAAATTTGGCATAGCGTACTGAATTAGGTCGAGAATGACGTGCGTTCAGTTTCGAAAAAATCGGGTCAGATTTAGATATTGCTCCCATATATTTTCATCCGATTTAATGTAAATGGTGCACCAAAGTGTTCTAAATTGAGTCTAGAATGACGTGTGTCAAGTTTCGAAAAAAATCGGGTCAGATTTAGATATAGCTCCCATATAGATTTTCGCCCGATTTAAGATAAATGGGGCACGAAAGTCCCTATATATGTTTCGATTTGCACGAAATTTGGCACAGGGTACTGAATTAGGTTCAGAATGATGTGTGCTAAGTTTCGTGGAAATCGGTTCAGATATAGATATAGCTCCCAGGTATATTTTCGTCCGATTTTATGTAAATGGTGCACCAAAGACCCTATACTTCTTTCGATTTCCACGAAATTTTGCATTCTGTGGTGAATTGAGTCTAGAAATAACGTGTGTCGAGTTTCGAGAAAATCGGCTCAGATTTAAAACCAGTAAGGAAAGTAGTAAAGTCGGACGGGGCCGACTATATGATACCCTTCACCACTATGGATATATTAAACAGGACTATTAACATGAAATTGGATGAAATAAAATATGTGATATTTATCTAAATGTGAATCTACCTATATATCCATAAGTTATATAAATCGACTTCAATCAAATATAAATAGTTTATCTGTTGGGCTATGTCTGTACTTCTAGAAAACGCAACTACGTAATTCTATGCTCAATTTTGTACGTTGTGCAAAATTTGATGTCAACCTGACTAGCATGAAGAGTTTGATGTCCAATTTACTTAAAATCGGGCGAAAATATATATGGAAGCTCTATCCAAATATATCGAAGGATATATAGGGACTTTGGTGCACCATTTACATGAAATCGGACGAAACTATATCTGAATCTGGGCCGATTTTCTCGAAACTGGGCAGACATCATTCTAGGCTCAATTCCTGCAAATCGAAAGATATATAGGGACTTTGGGGCACCATTAACATGAAATCGGACGAAACTATATATGGGAGCTATATCTAAATCTGGACCGATTTTCGCGAAACTGGGCAGACATCATTCTAGCCTCAATTCAGTACGTTATGCCAAATTTCATGCAAATCGAAAGATATATAAGGACTTTGGTACACCATTTACCTTAAATCGGAGGAAGATATACGGGAGCTATATCTAAATCTGAACCGATTTTCACGAAACTTTGCACACATCATTCTAGACTTAATTCAGTGCGCTATGCCAAATTTCGTGCAAATCGAAAGATATATAGGGACTTTGGTACGCCATTTACCAAAAATCGGCCGAAACTATATATGGGAGCTATATCTAAATCTGAACCGATTTTCACGAAACTTGGCACACATCTTTCGTGGCTTAATTCAGTACGCTATGCCAAATTTCGTGCAAATCGAAAGATTTTCAGGGTCTAAAGTCCGTAAATCGGGCGAAACTATATATGGGAGCTATATATAAATCTGAACCGATTTTCACGAAACTTGGCACACATCTTTCGTGGCTCAATTCAGTACGCTATGCCGAATTTCGTGCAAATCGAAAGATTTTCAGGGTCTAAAGTCCGTAAATCGGGCAAAAATATATATGGGAGCTATATCTAAATCTGAACCGATTTTTCCCAATTTCAATAGGGTTCGTCCTTGGGCCAAACAAATGAGCTTTGCCAAATTTCATCCAAATCGGATCATAAATGCGACCTGTACTTTGTTTACAATTTAACATGGACAGACGGACAGACGGACGGACGGACATGCATAAATCGATTCAGAAAGTGATTCTATGCATATTCTCAAAAGGAACCATGGGTCTATCTCGATTATTTTTGCCTGTTACAAACATATGCACAAAGACATAATACCCTGTACCACAGTGTGGTGAAGGGTATAAATAGAACCCCTATATTTTAGTCCGATTTAAGGTAAATGGGACACAAAAGTCCATATATATCTTTAGGTTTGCACGAATTTTGGTGTAGAACACTAAATTGATTGAGAATGATGGGTGCTAAGTTTTGTGAAATCTTGTCTTGAAATCGGTTCAGATTTACATATAGCTCCTATATATACTTTAAACTAAACACTTAGTCTCATTTAACATTTAAATATTTGAAATGAACGGTAAACTATGTTAATTTTTTTGTAAATAGTACCAGATATCACTACATTCTTATATAACCAATATTAGGGAAGAATATTGCTTCTCACAAGTAGTATCTAAGCTCTATCTAATTTCAATAAAAACACTCCGAATCCGACTTTCATTCGTTTAGCGGATACTGAAAGCTTTAGATCGTTAACCACGCCTTCCCAAGTTGATGGACACAGGTCATAAGCAGATAGTAGTTCCTAAACAAGGAGTAAAAACATTATTTTAAATCTTGTTGTTTCGGATGAAGCCATACCAGCTCCGCTCACGAGTTGCATTATTGACGCCCAACGTGAAGCCTGCTGCATTGACACCCAAAATGGAGCCTGCTTTATTGGTACCCAACGTAGAGCTGTTTGAAATTTTATTTTGCAATAAAATTTTGATGACATCTAGAAGGTAATTTCTGGTCAGAACTTATTACATGAGCCTTCCTATTTCCTACTAATTATATTTCTATTATAAAAAAAATCCAACAACTTTAATTTCATTTTTTGTTATTTTTGCCAAAAAATATAATTTCACAATAGCATTATAAGGATTTACATTCCATATCTTCATATTTTTTAATAAAAAATACTTTTTCTCAATTTTCCATCCAAATCCTGCAAACTTTTCTTACTTAACACTTTGTAAATGATGAACCACCCACCGCCCGCCCACACAAAATGAAAGCAACGAACTTGATTATCGAAGAGGAATGAAAATGATTGAAATGTAAAGGGCAAACAAACAAAAAAATAAATATAACAATTTCAAATAGCAGATGATTTATTTTTAATAAAGTTCAACACCCGCCACCCACCTCCACCCGGTCACCCACTCAAACCACAAGCCATTGCCAAGTAGAATAAACAGTTGTAGCAGGAAAAGCAGCATGAATGAGCAAATATTTGTAAAATGCTAATGATAATTCCACAATGGACAACGGATGAATGATTGGTTGGTCTGTCCGTTGGACGTTTGGACATTTTTGCTGGAGTTGCAATTCTCTGTGT